GGGAAAGAGCTTTTTCAGGGCAGTTTTCTTCACTGTGGTTTTTGTAAACATTAAAAATTAATCAACAAAGATGTGAAGCTGCTGCTAAAACTGAGTTCCCAAGTAAAATTTCCATGTTTAAGCACTTTCCCTTTGAAAGTCTATTACTTTGTAATCCACCAGCAGCGCTCCTGTGTCTTTACCATCCCATTCGCAAACCTCCTTGATGTATTAGGGTGCGAAGAAGCCTGTGGTGAAACATTCATCTCTTCCAAACCACTGTCTTTGCTCAGATAACTGATTGGTAGTGGTATATATAACTCTTAGATTTTTGACCTTGTGCTGTTGGACACAAGTATAGCAGTATGGCTTTCATCTAAGATAATAAGATAGCTAAGATGTGGGAATAATGTCAGTTACGTTTTACGTCTGCAGTGAAGACTTTCAAGTAACGACTGGCCCTTTCTAGTTGTCTGTGATGGATGATTTTGATCCTTTTCACAATATGAGCCCAATGAAGTGCTGCTACTTTGTGAAACTCTTCTTCTTAATGGCTTGAACTGTATACTAACTATATTACTTACTGTTAATGTTAATGGTTTGCAGGTTGGATGGAGTCAGGTTAGAAAATGGAAAAATTAATGTTGTCAGCAAGAAGAATGGGAACAAACCAAAATTAAATCAGAAGAAATGGTAAACTTTCAAAATCAAACTTCCCCTACCCCCACCATCTTCCTCTTATGACATCTCTTTATCTGTTAAGTTTAGGCTAAGGTTGATCAGCTGTATTTTAATTTCTGGTGCATACTTGTCTCTTTCACAGTGACTCATGTTTGGTAGTTCTCTGTAGATGCTTATAGACTGATCTAGGACTTGGGAATCTGGGATAGATTATGTATGGTATATTTTTGCTTGCTTTTTGTGTACATTAATGTGTTCTGTGGATTAAATGTGTCATAGAATACTAATGCCAGAAGAAATGTAATCCAGTCAAAAGCAGTTTGACTTTTGCAAATATGCTTGCTATGACAATAAGACTACATGGATTGGAAATAAGCAAATATATAATATTTTTGTTATTAAGAAAATCTCTGGAATATATTTCAATATAAAAATTCCTTATGGTTTTATCAATGATGTTTGTTTTTTAATTCCATTGGTGCGATTGGGCTATTTATACTCAAAGGCTTGAACAGTCTACTTGTGTAGTAAAAGCTACATTGCATAAAAGTAACTTTTTCATAGAATTTGGATTACTCCACTCTTAAAATGCATTGTCAAAGCTTATAGTAGCTACTAGCGTAAAAGAATAACTAACTTAATATAGACCATTTAAGATTGACTAAATTTAGCCATAATTAATTTGGTCATAGCAGTTTTGACCGTGTAATATCAGGTAATTGACCATGTTTTGAAGGAAATACTTCAGATGGAATTTTGAGAGCTCAACTTTGAACAAAAAATTTCTTGAAACTGTCGTGCCAGTACTTTTAGGTTCATTTTATATTATTAAAGTTCAGGTGTGTTTTAGTTTAAAGGATAAATCCTAACTTGCTAAAGTAAGCATTTATTTGTAGAGTTTAAAACTTGTAGCTCTTCTGAATAGTCACGGTTCTGATCCTATTACATATCTTCTAGTTCGTACCTCTGCGATGTGACCCTGAAATCTTTAGATGGAAAGGAATTCCCGTGTCATAAGTGTGTACTTTGTGCAAGACTTGGTATGTGTGTGTATTTATATATATTTATATATATATATAAAAATATATAAGTCATATTGTCTTTTTTAACTGAAATTTTATTGCATCTTGAACTGAAATGCCTTTCTTTACAGATTATTTTCACAGCATGTTAAGCAGCTCTTGGATTGAGGTAAGCTTGCCAATAAGTATGTGTGGGTAGAATGTTTTGTTGCATCAAGTAAGTGACAGCTTTTCAGTTTTTCCTAGAATAACGTACCCTAAATACTGGGGAAAAGGAAAGACTGAATTCTTGGATCCTATTTGCAAGGGAAAAAAAAAAAAATCATATTTTTGGTTACTCTATATTTGTACTATTGAGGTTGTGTATTAAATGAGAATAATAAATGTAGTAATGTGTATCAAAGGAAATTAAAGTATTACTTTTGTTTTAGAGGTTTATTCTAACTAGAGCTAGTTCATGGATTTATAAAAGCTGCTGGACTGTTCTTACGGAATAGTGCTTTGGATGAATTTTCATTTTCTTTCTGTAAAAGATCTTACAATTTAGATAGTATGCAGTATGGAATAGCTTTTCATATGTAGTGAGTGAAAGATACAGCAGAATTGAGAGTCAATGTGTAAGATCTTTAGCTGACTTTTACTGTGAATGAAATCGAGGATGTCAAGGACTATTCCACTTAGTCACCAGCTGCTGCTTCAAAAGGTGTAGATCTTTTATTTGTCTTGGTTCCTATCTGATATCTGTGTGTCGATGCCCTGGATGTTCCTGGACATCGTAATTTCACTAAATGTCTCTGTTTAAGTATCTGAATACTGTTGATAATGCTTGTTGAAAGAGAGGAAAGGAGAAGCATTTTTCAGAGACTGAAAGCTGAAGCAGCGTGCGAGAGTTTTCTCAACTTTAATAGTTACGTGGCAATATGTAAATTTAAGAACCTGGCAAAGTGCTGGCAGTTCTCTTCTGCTGTATAACAGAAATTTACCTGTCCTCTAAGTTACTGTGCTGAGGAAACATATCCAAAACACTGTGAGACAAGTGATTGATGTATTAATTTTTTTCAAGTGTTGAATGTCTGTTTGTATCGTTGATTTCTGTATCAGTTGTATGTAGTTCATAAATTATCTATTATTTCATAAGTAAACTATACTAATTTTGTAAGTAAATATTTTGTGAATCAAGTGCTCTAGATGGTGTATAAAAATCTTAATGTCTGTAAGAGATTTTTAAACTTCAGATGGGAAATATGTCAATACCAGTAACGCATTCTGAAGCAAAAGAAATCTTTTAGTACAAAACTTTACTGTAGTACCACCTGAAATAAACCAGTTTTTAAGCAGGGATGTTTCATAAACTTGAATGGTGACAATTACATGGTTTAATGGCTGATGTTTACTCATACAAAAGCTTTGCCTTAAGGGTTAAGATAGTTCTTCAAATGGAGGGTTTGCTGAGGACCTTATTTTCCGAGGGATTAACAGTAATGGCTACTTTCATTTTATTCTTGCATGGGAATTTGAGATTTCACTAGAACTTTTACCTTGAAAGGAAAGCAATTCAGTACTTGCATGGGGGATTCCTGTAGTTCTACTTCTAAACAATTGTGGGTGAAGTAATATAATCAAGGAAGATTGTTAGAGAAGATGCTCAAACTGAGCTGTTTCATGGATATTTATTGAGAAGTTTGGGCAGATTTTAATTGCTCTGCTACAATCAATTCTTAATTGAAGAACTTGAACAGATTCTTTGCAAATGCTTAAATAATTTTTGTTTTAACTTTGAAAATGTGACCCTCAATCTGAGTAATTTGATAAATGTAATTTCTGTCTTAATTGTGTATTTTGTTCTAAGTAATCAGCTTCTTTTACTTTTTTTGTCTATTTTTTTAAATCCTTTTGCCTTTTAGGCTTCCTGTTGTTCAGCTCTGGAAATGCCAATCCATTCTGATATACTACAGATTATTGTAGATTACCTGTATACAGATGAAGCTCTTGTGATAAAAGGTGCCATTAATATATTTTCAATTCACCTGTAGCTCCTGCAATTCTTACATTCTTAAAATAGAAATTCAATACCTAATATGGTCGCATGGAAGTTTTATGTAGAAAATACAAAGTTTTGTGACTCTTGCTTTAGATTTTGAGGTGAATGCTGTACCCCAAGCCTTTTTGTACCTTTTCTTTAATTTGTCAAACTGCAGTTTTCCTTTTTCATCCTTCTCTGCTTCAAAATAGTGACTGTTTGTGCTCTTTTAAGCTATTCCTTGTGCTGTGAAAATCCCATCAAAATTTGCAAAGCCGTTACATTTGTCCTTTGGTAAAATCTCATTGAAGCTGTATGTGTTAAAGTTGCTTTTGACTTGCCCACAGTGTTTACATGATTCTTTGTTTTCCAGATTCTCAAAATGTGGAATTCATATGTAATGTTCTTGTGGTAGCAGACCAACTTCTTATATCCAGACTTAAAGAAATCTGTGAAGTAGCCATTGCAGAAAAACGTGAGTTCTTCCACTTATATTATAAAGGGTTAGAGAATAAAAAATGCTTTTTTGAGATATTAATGTTGTTGCCTATTTCAGCACAGAATTATTTGCTTATGTTCCCTTGCTCTGATTACCTTTTACTGTTCGCTGCATAGCTGTTAATACTTGCTTCTTCAGTCTGGGTGATGTTCTAGGTTAGCATAGTCTTCTGTTTCCTATGCATCATTGTCTTCATCTCATGCTCTTTAATAAAAGAAAAAAAAAAGGTAAAAAATAAAAAGTAAAAAGCCAAAAAACGTCAAAACCACTACAACAAATACATAAAACTTTTGTAAAACCTTTATTTCATTGAATTAAAACTTCTTGTCTTTAAAACATGATAAAATGAATTCTGTGTTTCTATTTCTGTCCTTGTATTTAGTTCCACTAGTTCTGCTGTTGCTCGTTTGACACAATGCTGTTTCTGTATGGCTCTGAAGATCTGTCTCTTCTAGAAAACACTAAGTGTCGTTGCTTAGCTTCATACAAGAAGTCAGAATACAATTTCTGCTTGGCATTTCTTAGTGACTTCCATTTCTCTCTCTCTCTCTCCCTCCTTCCCGCCCCCCCTTCCCCCTTCATCCCCCTCTTCTTTTTTTCTTTCTCCCTGCTGAAGGAACATTTGGAGCTTTAAGAGCTGTTTACGCTGTATACAAAACTTGCTATTTTTGACTTACTTTTTCCCCTGTGTTTTGGACTGCTGAGTTTCAGTATATTGAAACTGATAGGTTTGTAGGTAGGGCCTCTCTGTTTTTATGAAGCAGCCGTTAACATTCAAGCTGCTACAAAGCTATGTGCAGCTTGCTGTAGTTTATGGCCACTTGAATATTAGCATTTTTTCTAGGAATGGAGAAATATATGATACATTTCAATAACTAGATCACACTGTGCAGTAAGTCTTAAAAACTGCTGCATGATACTGCAGCATGTTATCCAATTTAGTTTCTTGTGTTTCTTCTTTGCAGTTACTTTAAAGAATGCTGCTGAGCTGTTGGAGTTCTCAGCAATGTATAATGCTGAACAGTTAAAACTATCCTGCTTGCAGTTCATAGGACTCAATATGGCAGCTTTGCTTGAAGCGAGGTAAGGAGGAATGCACATATGTTCATGTACTAGCTGTTAAATTCAAACATCCCAAAAAGGCAAAAGAGTTGGAAGAACTAATAGGAGCAGTTAAATATTAAAATGCAAGTGAATGCTGCAAGTTTAACGGGAGGCTCATTCTTGCCAAACAGGAAGAGCGAAACTTCTAAATATCTGTACATAGTGTACCAGTTCTATAATAAAAAACCCTATGTTACAATCTGGCAGGAAGAGCCTGAATTAAGGGGAGAAACCTCTCTTGAATTCAGTGGGCTTTGACATTAGGCCTAATTTTTTTCAGGTTTTTAAAATTGTTTTTGAATATGCAAAAAACTGCTGTAGCTTTCTGTTGGTTTTTTTTCTTCTTTTTTTTTTCTTTTAACATGGTAGTTACTATGCAAATTGAATTCATTTTAAGTAGGTTCATTACAGCTCGTGAATTTTCCAAAGATGATGGGCCTGCCTTCTGGTAGTCTCTTTGTTTTAACTGTCTGTAATGAGGGCTGAACAAATTAATTACCCTTGCTTTCCCCAATGATTCAACTAGGGTTCTAAGAAGTTGAAGATGTGCTCTGGCCTTCCTCCTCTTGATGCTTTTGGACATGGCTTCAAGTTGCTTCCAGAGTACATATCATCCTCTCAGAGCAAGCCTTATCAGCACTGATTGATCTTCCTTTCTAGCAAAGACTTAACACCCCCCACACCCCCCGCCAAACAATGAAACAAAAAAACCCCTCATCTCTATTATTGGTCCACTCTGTCCACTCCTACCCTTTTTGTCATGCTTCCTTTTGCCTGTAGAATTTATTAGAGATCTGAACCAGTTCAGAATGCCAGCACTTCGTAGCTGTGTTGCACGACTGCTCTCCTTCTATGACAGATACAGGAACTCATTCATGTTACCAGTTTTCCTCTTCACATCTTTATAAAGTATAAAAATTTTAGCATTTGATTTTGCAAAGAGTAAAAATCTAGTAATGTTGTCTTAAGTATTATTCTGACTTCAGATTTGTTTAATCTTACGCCTGGAAAGGACACGCAATATTCTTACTACAATTAAGACTGTATCTGCGTTTTAGTGAAAATCTGAAAATGTCATTACTGGGTAGCAAGACTTTTAGTCTGAGACACCTGAGATGGATAGAACTTAGTCATGACAGCTTTGTGCAAGGAGAGCCACTCATGCAGGCAAGACAGTTCTGTTGAGTAAAGTTTGTTGCTGTAGTATTATTTTTTGGCATAAATGCCAAGGGATGTTGTGGATGAGTTTTACAGAAGAATTTCTGTAGACTTGGAGTATTAGATACATGTCAGGAAGACTTGAAAGTATGCAGAAATAGGCAAAGTAGTGACCAGTTCATGGTAACTTAACTATATAGGTCTATATTGGCTGTGGCCTTAAGTAAAGTTAGGCTATCTGGAAGGGGTATGGGTTTGATCCTGCCTTACAAGGGCATTGACTAGTTTATGTTTTGTATTCATTTTCTTCCTTCTGACTCTGTGACCACCATGAATATGTAATTACACCTGTAGGTGAGATTCATCTGAAACGTTCATTTGAATTTTTCATTAATGTGATTTTTTTTTTTTTTTTTTTTTTAAGCTGGTAAGATAAGTTTGTATTTATTTTTTAGGACTCTGGATGTCTTAAGTGATGAAGTTGTAAAGGATCTTTCTGTTTATTACAGGAAAATGGTAAGTTGTACACCTTGAGTGTAAGCTGATTAGGTTTAAAATGAGAACAGATGAGTAATGTCTGTAGATGACAGGCTGAATGTGGAATGTCTGACTCAAAAGCTAAGATTAGCAGCTGCTATTATCACTCTCATGGAGCTCATATTTCATTATTCACTAGCCACTGCTGCAACAGTATTGTGTCCTTTAATTATAGACATTAAATGTATTAATGATCTGTAATTAACAATTGTTGCTTCAAAAAACCGTAAGCAAAACCTATGGAAAAGAGCATCTGTTACTTAGAAGAAAGGAGAAGAAAGCAAATTTGACTTCTCCAATGTAAAGTTCAGGGTGATCATATAGATCTTAAAAGGAGTAAGAAAAATAATGTGAAAGTTGAACTTTAATGAAAAGGAGGAAACCAAGGCACATTATAATGCAGTATTCTTTAACTGTACAGTAGTAAAAGATGAATGTTTGCAAAACCTTGAAGCATTTTTTTGTCTGGAGTTGCAGGTAGCTGAAACATAGGCATCCTGAGTCTCCCACAATAATTCTCTGTTTTACTTAAAGTTACTTATAAACTTAAGTTTATAAGCTGGTTAAATAATTAATTACTTGATCTGTAAAAGTCTTTTAAATGACAGTCAGGTTTGGCCCTTTTACAAGAGGTGATATATTTGCTAGCATACAACTTAAAAGCGGTTACACTAAGTTTCTCTTACAACTACAGATTCCAGCTATGGTCAGGAGAGTAATTACTCCATATCCAGATGGACCTGACATAAGTTCTTTTGAACCTGAAGATGGGGAGAACTTTGTCTTTTTAAGGGAAGATGTGAATCCAGAACAAAATTCTCAGTAAGTGTCTATTTTTCAGCAACATTTTTAACTAGGTGAGCTGTATATGGTATTTACCCCCTTTTGGATGGTGCCTGACTCTCTTTGGATTCAGAATTGAAATATTAAGAAATAGGAGAAATGGAGATTTCAAAGACTGTTCTTTGATTCCCTTAAGTATTTTAAAAATATTACACAACTTGCAGCAAAGCACTTTTTTCAGTTTGTAAGTAGTATGTGAGTAAAGGTAGCAAAAAAAATTTCACAGTATTGTTTGGGAGTTGTGCATGTGATGAGAGTATCTGTGTAAGACCAGCTGTGGAGTTCATTGAACTTCACTGAATTAGGAGAAATCAAAAGAGAAAAACCCCAGACTTTACTGTATCTTTACTATAGATACTTCTGGAAAATTGTGTTAGTCTACATTTCTTAATACTAACAGAAGTGTCATGCAAAATGGGAAGTTTTATAGCATGAGATTTTAATCTGTCAGTTTGAAGTGGCTACTGTCTGGCTATAGAATAACAAAAGCAGCAACTTGTGCTTAAGAGGTATTAGAAAATGTGATCCAAACAACTGTAGATCAGGTGGTTTTGTGGACTTCCAGTATTCTGTCTTTGAACATTTGAAAGCTTGGGAGCACTAGAATCTGTAAAAGTCTTGTGAGACTAACAATATGCAAATAATAAAGTTACAACTGCTTTTTTTGGTACAGTTTTTTAAACTGTAGAAATTGGCTATGACATCACAACTATGAAAAGTTAATTTGATAGCATGACTTGGTAACATGCTTCAGAATAGTGAAATGTGATGTCACTGTTGCAGATGAGACCTCATTTGTGGTATTGTGTCCTGACCGCTTGTGTCAAGAAAAGTTATGCTAAATGAGCTAGTACAGGTAAGGACTAGTAAATCAAGGGAACTGAGAGGCTATTTTGTATGAGACTTCAAGCCTTTCAGTGTTCTTAAAGGCTGGACAATAGCCTTTAGGCAATAGGGCAGTCAAAAGATTAAAAAAACCCCAAACATTGTAAGATTACAGTATTGATACATGAATGAATAAGTATCTATACGGTTATTCCACAAAAAGCTTCTCTAAGAAGCTTTTTGAAATAGGGCTACTGGAGCTGTGATATAATTTCTGAATTTCTAGTAGTTTTGTTAAAATAAAAGATGCCTTTTATTTGATTCCACTCTTCCTAATATCATATATAGGAACACAGGACATTTTGGTAACGTGACCATATACCTGCTTTATCATAGAACTAGTATTATCTTGGTGGCAATATTTTTGTTGGGGAAAAATGAGACCAACTGTGGAGTTTATTGAACTTCACTAATTTCTGAGAAATCAAGAGAGAAAGAAGTGGAACCTTGGATGTAGTTTGCTTTATGTCAGTTGCTGCAATGTGTAGCAGGTTTAATCTTACCTAGGTGGCAGTGCCAGCCTATGAAGCTGCAGCATCTTCCACTGTCTCAGAAGTTTTTCTGCAGTGTACTGGACCAGAGACTAGGTCTAGATTAGAAAAAAATTTTTTTCTTCCTCCCCCCAAATAGTTTACTAAATAGTTGTGCCAGTGCATAAGCAGAGCAAGAACAAGCAGCTAGTGACAGCTGGTGGGACCAGATATTACTGCTTGAAGTACAACACTTGCTGCTGACTGAGAGCCTTGACATTGACACTGATAGTTCTGAGGCTCAGTTTATTTGGCTTTAATCCATCTTGGGTTTGGTTTCTTTCTTTTTTTTAATAGGGAAGCCCTTTTCAAAAGAGCAAAAACTAAGGCAAAAAAGAAGCCACGAAAACGGTCTGACAGCTCTGGAGGATATAATCTATCGGACGTTATTCAGAGTGCAGCCTCTACAGGTCAGTGGGAAAGAGGCTTCTTTCAGATATTAAAACAATATAAAATTTAATATGCAATGTGATATGATTTCTATACCTCAATAAGAAAATCTGGCAAAGATTATTTATTTTCTAGTGAACACCATAGTGAATTTGAACAGTGAATTCTTAAGTTTTGTTTGAAAGAATGTTTGTCATATTAAGCTTGTACCCAAAACTCAGATTCTGTAAAAGCACGTGTTTTATCAAATAAACTTAATGCACCCTTTCCCTTGTGGTTTTAATTAGGGGAACATTTCTTCTTTTTTTTTTTTCCTTTTTTTTTTTTTTCTTCTTCTGGAATATAAAAAATAAATTAGTCACTTTTAGTGAAATTAGTTTAGTGAAAATATGGCAGGAGCTTTCATTTTCAACAGAAAAGTGTCAGTGTTGCTTCCTAAAACTGTAGATTGTGAGACAGAGAAAGAAAACAGGGAGTAATCTTATTCTGAAAAAATATTTAAGACTATATTTTAATATTATTCTAATTTTAATATTATTCTAATATTTATAACTTAAGACTTGCTTAAATTTGCTTATACTTATTACAGTCTAGTATACTGGACTAGGTAAACTTCTGGTTATTTTGTATTCATCACATGGAGTGAATAAATTTTGGGGGTTTTTAAGCATTGCTTAGTCCAGCTCTCATGATTTAATATTTCTACTCTCTCTTCTTATTTCTTAGGCTCAGTGAAACTGGATAAAACCAACTCTGTAGAATCACTTCCAGAACTCTTAACATCTGACTCTGAAGGTAGTTATGCAGCAGTGGGTAGCCCCAGAGACTTGCAGTCTCCTGACTTCACAAAGGGATTTCATCCAGAGAGGATGGAGGTTGGATTTTCTTGTTCCTAGCAACTTATTTGTTTGTGTTTATCTAGTCCATCAAAAACAGAGTTTGTATTTTGGAGCGTTTCTGAGAAGCTGTTGTCCTTAAAATGGAGTAGACAACTTTTAAGTCGTTATTGTTTTTCTGATAAATAAAAATTAGTATTCCTTATTAAATCTTCTAAGAGTAATTTATTCATGTAGTACCGTAATAAGAATTTTTATATGCTGTAGTTTTCAGCAAATTTCAAACCAGAAGAACAATTATGTAAAGTCTTTATCTACTTCATTTAAAATGCAAAGTAAATCTGAAGTTCAGAAGCCCCTCAAAAAAAAAAAAACAAACCCACCAAAACCAAACAGAAGCTAAAAAACTCAAGGAAAATTCTGTTGTTCTTTGACTACTGTAGTTGGACAGAAGTATGGTCCAGGATAACTGAGGCACAACTGGCAAAGAGGATAAGTTTGAGAATTGTGTCTATGTTAAGTGTTAAAGCTTTAGAAGTGAACATCTCCATCTGTCAAGATGCATATTTGGACTTAACTGATTCAGGGTGAAATGTGAAACAAAACAATGCAAAAAAAGGTACAAATAGCAGACTGATCAGGGATTCACTGGGTTATTGCTCTTTTTGAGGTATCCTTTAAAATCTTTTCACTTACATGTGAAAAGTCGTTTGTCACATCAATTTTTTTCTAAATGAAAAAATGTGAGATATTTATTCCAACATTTTTCTGTCTTTTTCCAGATGAAGGACAAAGCATGCAGTCAGGGTATGAAACCCTCTCAACCTAGCAAGGAGATAAAGTCATACAGGGAATCATCAGCATTGACACAGTCTGTTCCACAGTCCATTCCCAGTGCCAAAAACAATTCTGCAAGCTCTCCCAATTGGGTAGCAACCAGTTTCAGGTGGAGTAATAGTTGTGCCTACCTAACTTACAATCACTGTTCCACACCTGGTAGTGAATGTTAATAATATGCTATTCAGACTAAAAAACTATCTGCTCTTCAAAAGATCATACATTACTTGACATGTGAATTAAGGATTTTGATAGTTTTATTAAACTGGTACATTTATTTAAATATTCTTTGAGAAAAGCAATTGCTAGGTCCTTTTTTTTTTTTTTAATTAAGTGCTGCCAGTCTGGACTTCTAATATCTTTTTTTAGAAGGCCTGCTTGGTTAGCACTTTGTAAAATATTTGACAGCATTTTGTAGAATTAGACCATGCTTGAAGTCATTAGAAACACCATTGTACTTTGACATTTTTAAGGTATGACTTTAAACTTAAACTGTCTGTGAAAATCAACACCTCAGGTTAAACTGATAAAGTAATAAAAAATCTATTATTAATTTTTATCTGTAGCAGTATCTGCATATGAAAAAGGAGCAGCACTGTGACAAGACTATTCTGTCTTGCCTGATGTGCTGTCTCTGACAGTTGTCAGTAAAGGTTGAATAGAGAAGAGTTTAAGAATTTAGGGATTGTATAGTGATAATTTCCCACAGTTTTCCCAGGCTTTGTTGGTTTGTGGCTGATGGGCTTTGTTAATACAGGTGATACAGCTGTAGAAATTAGAAGTTGCAACTCTGAACTGTATCGTTTGGTGAGCAGGGTCCATTAGGAAACTGTGTTTTGTCTCACTCTGTATTTGTGCAAGCCTAAGTCTATGCAGAGAGGATAACACTTTCCTCTCTATGCAGAGAGGAAAAAGCAGGCAGCACTGTTGTGTAGAATGTTGAAAGGATTAATACTGTAGTGTATTTGGTTGAACTACTGTGGAGGAGCAGTGCCAACAGGGTTTGGTGTGAGCTCCCAGTGGTTAGTTAATTCACTAGTTAGTCTGTGGCAGTTGGGTTTATGTAGGGAGAGGCAGAGGGAGTGCTGCTTATATTTTATTTCAGAGCTTGTCCTTGATAACACAGCATAATTTACAGATGCCTTTAAGTACACAGTTTTTAACTTACAGTTTTATGTAAAGCTTGGACATGTCTGGATTTACTTCACGTTTGTTTCTGTGCAAGTTTAAAATCAGGTAACTTGTGAAAAGGAAACTGATTTCTAAAGTTTGAGAATTTTACTGGTGTTTGTACAGAGCTCTAACTTCACAAATAGTGTTCACTTTGCCATATGAAATAATTTTAATCCTGTTCTTCAGCGAAAGGTCTAATTCAACCTTCATGAAAGAGCTGTGAGCAGTGCTTCTCTAATACTTAGCATGAGCAGTTGACTACTAAATAAGTATCCTGGATTTAGGTATCTAACTTTTTTAAAGTAATCATAGTTCACATCTTTTTGTTTCATAGTATAATGAGTCTTGAAAGTATTTTTATAATGTGCTCTTAAATATGTATATATTTATAAAAGTTTTGTCAGAAACATTCTATTTGAGGTTTGCCATAATTGAGGAAACAGACATAAATTATACATCCGGTTACCAATCTTATATATGATTTAGAGGATTCCAGTGAAGGCTGGAACTGTGGAATGTGAGTAAAAATGAGTGCCTTGTAAGGTAACTTTTTATTTTTCACTTAGCCCTGCCAGCCCTCCTGCTATGGATCTAAGAACCATCATGGAAATTGAAGAAAGCATGCAGAAATGTGGAACCATGCCAAAGGCAAATTCAGGGTTGGTAAAAAACCAAAATCTATAAAAGAAAAGTGTGATAGACCAGGCTGTTATGAATTTACTTAGTGGTTCAGGCAGTTCAGAGTTTAAAACAAGCAGGAGAAAAGTTGTCCTATTTGGTTTTGACCAGCTTTGTTTACTTCAGTTCATTATGGTGTTTTTCTGGGAGCATGCAAAATTTATCCCTTCATTTTACTGTAGTCTTGTTTGGTAAACTACTGCAAAAGCTGTTGAAATGTGAAAGAAAGAGCTGGTAAACTAGTATCTTAAATCAGTGGCCTGCTCTGCTGAGCTTTCCTATTTCTCAACCCAAAAGAATTAATTCTTGTCCCTAGCACTTTGGAAATTACTTGTGGACCAGTACTGTAATTGATGCTGAAGTTTGTTTCTTGTCGCACACTCTCTGACCTCCCCCAGCACCCATGTATTGATATTGACCGTTCTTGCTCGGAGAAGCATCCCAAAGAGACAGGGAGATAAACGTACATTTTCAGGAGGCAGTGGATTAAGCCTGATGTTTCTTAACTGACGACATGTAGAAGAGAACTGGAGATGATTTTCATGACCTTTGAAGTGTAGCAATCTTGTAAAGAATGCAGCAACCCTTTACTAGGCTCCAGGACCACTGCCCTATCTCTGGCTAGATAAACTCAGAAGCTGTGAACAAAACAGCCAAGACTGAAGAATCCGAGTAACTGAGGAAACAAACTATTATGAATATTAAAAATGACTATATTGTGTTGTATACGTTTCTTATGCATGCATATTTTTGGTTTAAGGGAGCTAAGCTTCTGACAGTCTGAAAAGTCACAAAATTAGAAAATAGTCTTCATCTGGTGGTAGTCCATCTCTTTCGGAGGCTTGATTCCTACTCTGCATGTTTTCATTTGTAGACATCTATGTGAAGAATTGTTTCATGATGTTTTTCTTTCTGTCACTCTTGATATTCATTGATCCTTCTTTTGCTCCCCAGCCATCCAACTCCTTCCCCCCACCTATACTCTTTTTTGGTACTCTAGGCAAAGTATTTTGGACTAGGAAAGAAGTATTTCTCAGTTGAATTTGCAAGACTAAAGGCCAGTCATCTCAAAGGACACTGATCTTACATCTTCTCTCTCTGCAATATCAATTCACAGCAGAATGGTGTCTCATGGAATCAAGCTTTCTCAGAAACAAAGGAAAATGATTGCCCTGGCAGCAAAAGATAATGGATCAGTAACTACCAGCACAGAGCCTACTACACTAATAACCATACCACCGCCACCTATGAAAGTTGCAAAACTAGGGAATGCATGGTATGTTATAAATCAAATACCACTTCTTTTTCTTTGGAGGGTTTTTACATGGAATAGTCTGTTAGAAGCAGTTTCTTAAATAAAAATGGCCTGGGTTCTGTTCATTAAAAAGGCTAGCATTGAACTATTTGTATCTACATTTGATGGTAATCTAGAAATTCAGAGGGGGAAGGGAAATGCAGTAGTTGCAGTTTAACAGTTCTTTGAAATTTTGCTACAGTGAGTCAGAAGACTGCATCCCAACTGGTTCTTGCCTGTGTGTGATGTGGTATTTGCAGATGGTATCAAACAAGCATAGAAAAAGAAGGTTAAGCACAAATTGTATAACTTAGTCCAGGAAGAGGTTATTGAAAACCATTATGAATGCTGTTTTTTCTCTGTCAAAAACATAAAGAAAAATATTGGCCCTTCCTGGGGGAAAGGGCTAGAATGACTTTGGAGTAGAACAAAAATAGACCGAAATTATAGATAACAAAGTTATTTAAGTGGCTAGGAGCCGGAGGGAGGGACAGATGCTGTTAAGAACCCTTATGGTGGAAGGATGCATAATGGGTTTAAAATTACTTTTAATGCTGATTACACGCAATTTAAATGTTCAAGTCAATGTCACGGGTCTCAAAGAGAAAAATTGTTTATCATCTGTTCAATGAACTGGGTTTACAACAATGAATGTAGTGAGGTGCTAGCCCGATTCATGCTTTGTTTTTCACATTTAGAGTTGGTACTGGATGCAAGCATAAAGGCATAACTGTAAAAGTTGCAAGCTATGTAAATTTAATGTGTTTAATTACTACAGAATAAATACCTATCTGCATACTCTTAACTTGAGAAAAAAAGAGTCAGACCACTTGTGAGAGGCTGAGAAAAAGTTAGGCTGCTTCCTGGCAGTAGTTGCTTCCTGAGATGTGTTCTGTGTCAAAAGGTTTAGGGTAATATCTAGAACTACTCGCTTCTCTACTCTATTTCATGTATCTACTACCTCATCTTTCTTTTTATGATCAGCACCTTGAGTTCGAAGTGCCTTTAGATTTACCTGAGGTTCAATATAGGTCTGTTGGTTTATCTTAGTTTAAAACCGTAGTAAAAACAGTAAAATGAGGGTCAGCAAAACTGCTATCATGAACTTCCAGAGGGCAGACTTTGGCCTG